GTAGTTATTTTTTCTACACCAGGATTTATTTAATAAAAAATTAATTACAATATTTTTTACCATAACAACATATTTAATTCTCTAAATAATTAAGGAACTGTTAATTAATGAAATTTGTAAAAACATAAACAAATTCCAGATGTTGGCGCCACTGAGCCCATTGTCTTAAACATTTTATTTACTGAATTGCGTTGTGTTTTCTATGCAAAAAAATAAAAAAAATAAAATGAAAACAAAAACAAAACAAAATAAACAAACAAATTCAAATTTAGTCAATGATGCTAAGTTAATCATTGATTAAACGCATATTTGTTGTATGCTGTGGAATGTTTTCATTCGAAATTTTTATTACGCATCATTTTGATGCTCCAATTCACACTCAGATAACCGGAAAAGGAATGTGAAATACCGGAGTCCACAACATTTTCAATTTGCACTTCGAAATTCACATTAAATTCACTAAAAATAACGACTCTGCGAAATTATTTACGGCAAATCATAAAATATAACTGAAAGTCCAACAAAAATGAAACATGTAAATTAGAATTTAACAACTTTATTGTTTATTATATCAGTTTTAAAAGTAATTAATTAAATTAATAAAACCGCAGCTTCGCAGAACCGCAGAACCGCAGAAGCGCATGAAAAAATGATGGCGTCGGCGCAAATAATATGGCGTCGATATGACGAGACGGATGACACTCTCCCCTCACGGTTTGCTAATTATTAATTAAATTAATTAAAACAAAATAGTCAATACTTTTTTGTGTTCAAACACTTAACTTGGCAAACAAACAAAAGTAGAAAGAGTAAAAAGTAAAACAAACAAAACTTTTTAAAAGGTAAACTGCGGTTAAAATACATGCACGATCAACTCCCGTTCCCTTCGAATCGCATCTGAATGCTCTAATAACGTGAGTGATCTGCAGCTATAAAAATTTTTGGACAAAAATTCCAAATTTCTTCGGCACGTCTTACACCACCGCGCAGTTCTTTAAAGTTCAAATTCCAGTTATGAACAGCGCTTTTGTTTGTTTGGCTAACAATAAAAAATATTTGTGACTTTTTTTGGTAGTCGTCTTCGTCTTCGTCTTGGCTCATACAATGACGTTTGTTGACTTTTACGCTTCTCTTGAAAGCATGTATGACTTTCGTGGTTAAATGCCCGAAAAAGCCGGTGTTGCGAGTGAGTTATACGCGCGCTAAACCAGCTTCCCCCGAGTTCCAATTAAAATTCAATTTGTCACCCTAATAAAATTCTATTTTATATAAAATGAAATAAAAATATTTGTATATATATTATTCATTATCTTTTTTTTCGTATAAGAATTATAAGAATACTCATTCTGGCTCCAGTCGGCTGCGAGTACCAGTTTTTAATATTGCTTTTTTCTCAGAATTAGAATTTCATATTGTGTGCCTCAATACGGTCAATTTGGTGTAACCACAATTGGAATACTTTTGGCTTGTTAATAATATTGACGTCAAAATCTTTTGTTTTGTAATAAATAATCAAAAAAAATCATATGTGAAAAATTCCTTAAATCCCATCCGCATGTTTATGTTTTGAATTATTTGTTTACATTTATTGTGGCTTTTGTGGTAAGTTATGCGTCAAGACAGCACGCATCATTGTGGCTTCTGTAAGCTGTTCTGTGAGATATTTATGAGCCTCTGATTGATGGACAATTTTCATAGTCTGTCGCCAAGCTGTTGACTTTTAAACAATTGCTCGAAATGTGGTCAGTTTACTTTAAGCCGTCTGAGATCGGTTAATAATATAATTTTTTACTTAGTCATGCCGACTATATTACGGTTGATATTTAGAAAGAGGTGCCCAGCTTTTCTTTCGTTAAATGAATTCTGAAATATAGTATATAGTTATAGTCTTATGTCAAAAAAGTACAGTAAAATGTGTATTAGTCATCAAAATTTATTGTATCGCATATCGAAATAATGCACTTAAGTCAAGGAATAATTCAATCATTATGACGTTTTTTAAACGCAATTTTTTAAGATCGACTTCAGTGCTCTTTTTCTGATCTCTTTTTGAGATTAGATTCACAATTCCGCAGCTTGTTGATTGGTTTACTTGTCAAACTCGTAAACCCACGTTTCTTTACCGTGTACAAAACGTTTTATGAATATAGGGTTGGAATTTACATATTCTATTATGTCTTTAGTAACCTTTCTGTGGTTGAATTGTTGCAGAAAATGCAGGTTTTTCGGCACAAGCCAATGAGCAATGCGTTTCATGTTCATGTTATTCAAAATTTTAGAAAAATTGTGTTTGTTCGATACTTTTATCCATTATAAAAACTGTAAAATATATTTGAAAATAACTGACAACATGGCACACCATAAACAAACTAAAGGACAAGTGACAATTTCCGCATGAGTAAAGAGTACATACAGTGTGACCAACTTAGCGAGAAAAACAATTTTAATAATTCCTTTAATCGATTTCCGAAACTTTTTTTTGATAGAATATATACATTATATATGGATTTACAGATTTTACCTATACTTTTAAAACTACATGATGTCTCAATGTTTTATATCTACAGCGATGTTTACATGTCCAAGTATATAAAAGAAGTATCTGGTTTGCTGGTTTAAAGAAATGAGTGATGTTGCTGATTTGTGTGTCATGTATACCTTGACTCAGTTATGTTGGTGAACTAGATTTATTATTTCAGATTTAGATGGTCCTATATTGCAAATATTTCTTCTTAGTTGTTGATTTTCATTGAGTTATAGAAGGTCACTTTGGATTTTAATAACTTAAGCTTTTTTTCAGAGGATAAGCTTTCATGTAACATGCCCGCCTTTCAGATAATTGAGATTCCTGTAATAACAGTGTTTAGTATTCATGTCGTTTTCGATATGAATTGATTTTTATTTACTTTTTCAGCATTGTTTCACTTAAAAATAAGTATTTTACTATAATACAATGCTTGTATAATTTCATGTGTCCAAGATATGTCAAAGCAATTGATGTTAATTTAATAATCAGTTACTCTGCATTTTTCAACATTTGGCTTCAAATGTTTTTAAAAGTGGAAAGAAGCTTTTCACTGTGAATGAAATTAAAAAATATTGAAAAAAAATTACTCGAATTAATTGAAGTTAACTTGGACTTTATGTCGTCATGTGCAGTAGTAAAAACAATAAAAAGGTGGATAGTTTACTTCAGAAGTATTTATTTGGAACAACGACCTCGTCGCTTTTGATCTTTACAAACTAATATAGCACTGTATGAGTAAAGAAAAAAAGATTGTTTATATGAAAGGTGGAGCAAACATTTGTTCTTTGTCATTCAAAAAGGTGTAAATATTCGATGGTCTTGCTTATCTTACCGAACATACATAAGGTGCGTATAGGCGACATTGACATTTATTGGAGCCTTCAGTGACAAGTAGCATAAAAACGATTGAAAAACACTGATCTAAAGATCTTGAAGAGTGTCGTTGGGAAAAATGTACTTTGTTAAAAAATACATGTACAAAAAGAAAGGTTACTGGGACCGAAGCTTCACTTAGACCATGAGGTCTATTGTGATACCCTTAAGAATTTGACACCTGCCACTATAACCATTTAGTACTGGCCATAAAGCCATTGACACGAGTTAGAGAAATAGAATTTAACTCTCTTAATGAATTAAAAAAGTGCGACCCTGAATAATATCTACAGTGCAAGGAGGTCCTGATATTGAGCCTTACGGCATGTCCTTCCATCGGGCAGTATCGTGTAATAATTCCCACTATCTTAGATAAATTTGCTCGAGATAAGTTGATTAGTTCCTCTGATCTTTACTTACTAATTTCTGGCCAAAGTTCCTTAGTTTTAATGCAATTGGTCACTGTTAACCATCAACGCCTAAACATCCCGCGTACTCATCCGGTGTACCCTTAATATAAGTATATATGTTGACCGCCAAACTTTACTAACATTTGTCATATGAGTGTTTGCAGTAATAGCATTTACTCATCAAAGTTCCTTCGGTTTCAGTATAGCTAAATAAATATAGTATATTTAATACATTGAAAGACTATTTTACCGATATCCAGATAGACAGGCACGCAGACAGATTCACAACGCCAAATCCATTCGTCATCATTTCATGTTGATTAAGAATATATATGATTTTTATGTGGTCTCCGACGTCTCTTTAAATTAAGCTTGTGCCAGTCTATTTAAAATTATCAATAAAAAATAAATCAAATTACGCACACAGGAAGTTTAAGTGAAATGCGGAGCATGTATGTTTACTTTTCTAGGGAAGTGCTCTACATACTGATAATTACTCATAATTATTATTTGAAATTAGGTTTAAAATTATTTTTTTTTGTTTATTAAATTTGTTGACCTACGGTCACCCAAAATTCCTGAAGTGACTTTGATAACAACAAAAACGTTAGATTTAAAAAAAATTATTCAAATTCATTACGTTGAACATGTCGTGCGATTTGAAATTAAGTCAGAAAATTATACATACATTCTCACATACATACATACCAGTATAATGAAAAAGAGATTTTTGCCAAAAATAACAACAAATTAAGAGGAAAAACAAGCTCTGCTTACAACTTGTTTGTTGTCACATATCAACAACAGCTGAAGCTCAGCAAAAAAAAAGCAGAAGGAGAGCCCATCGCAGAGCTCATTTCGCGGAAAAAAACCCAACCGGCAAAATTGTTGGCGATGGTTTCGACATATAATTTCAGGTCTCAGTTAGAATGAGCTTAGACTTAAACGTGAGTTTGAACAGTGAAGATCTTGTGAATTAAAAATTTAAATTGAAAAATTTGATAAGTTAAATTACTTCAAGAAAGTTTAAAAAAGACATTTGAAAACATAAAAGTGAAAAGTAATTTAAAATTAATATACATGAACTAATAATATTAATAATTAATTGTACAAAATTAATTTGAAAAGTTAAATTGAACAATAATAAAAGTGAATTCAAGTTTACAAATTTGAAATATCTGAAAAATTATTTAAAACACACACGGTTGAAAATAATGCATTTTTACAACACAACTATGCCAACACTATTTTTTCTAGTGTTGTACACGCTACTATCTGGTTTGAAAGTTTCCGGGTATGCAGTTGGTCAATCAAAATATGGCAAAATTGAAAAATTTCCCTATCAAGTGATGTTGATTGGTAAGCAATTGTGGCGGAAGAGAATACTTTGCGGTGGCACATTGCTCGACAAACGCTGGGTGCTTACTGCAGGTCACTGCACCATGGGAGTAACGCATTTCGATATATATTTGGGTGCAAATAGTGTTGAGGACTCTGAATTATCTGGGCGCTTGGTATTGCGTTCGAATAAGTTTATAGTGCATGAATATTTCAATCCTGAAGTGGCAGCAAATGATATTGCATTGGTGAAGCTGCCCATCGATATAACATTTTCATCACGCATACAACCAGCTATGCTGCCATATAATTTGCCCAAAGATCAATTTATCGGTGCTAAAGTTGTTGCCAGTGGTTGGGGTGCAGCTGGTGAAATGCAAAATTCTGATGAAATGCAATACACAGAATTAAAAGTCATATCGAATGCCGCCTGTGCTGAGCAATATGATGTGATAACTAAAGGTGTTATTTGTGCTAAAGGTCTTAAAGATGAGACAGTATGCACCGGAGACTCAGGTGGTCCACTTGTCTTGAAAGGTACTCAAATGGTCGTCGGTATTACCAGTTTTGGTCCAGCTGATGGTTGTGAAACAAATATTGCTGGTGGTTTCACACGTGTTACCTACTATCTGGAGTGGATCCAAGCAAAAATTGGTGCAGCAAATAAAGCGGCGCAAGCGCAAACAATGCAAGTGCAAGTGCAACAAAAACAACAGCAACATACACAGCGTATAAGCATAGATCATGAAAATAGTGTATAGATAGAAATGTTTAAAAATTTTTTACGGGGGGTAGAATATCAAAATTTATGGGATTGTTAAATATTTTGACTGACTGATAATTTTAGCTTTATTTCATTATTTTCGTGTTCATAGTAAATAAGTATAAAGTTCTAAACGATAATGAAATCTTAAAAGAAAATTTTGGCGTTCAATGCACTTTTTTCTATAAAAGTTTTATGTAACGCACGTATTATTTTAGCCACCACTGTTATACTTAGAGGTGTGTCGTGAGCGAAAGATTTGATAGAAATTTTATATATAAGAATAAAATGTGATACTCATAATTGTTAAAAATTATTTTTAAATATAATATTTATTTATTTAATTAATTTATTGTTAGTATATATTATTTATTATGTTTTTATATTAAAACAATTAAAAAGAAAAAGTAAATTCTAAATGAAAAAAAATGAACAAATAAAACAAAAAACTATTTTTCAAATATATATCAACGTTTTTTCTATTAAAAACCATTGAGGGGGTCTGCATATATGTTAAATAAAACATTTATAATATTTTTAAATATATATATAACAGTATTTCTCCGTTAAAAATTACATTGGAAATTTTCGCCGGCTTATATAGAATTTGAGCTGTAAAAAAATATTATGGCTTGTATATTATACTATATGTTGTATATTATACGGCTTGTTTTTGTGTGTTAAATAGAGTTAGGCGGTTTCAGAAGTGATAAGAAAAATCATTAAAATTTCAAATATTTTCTACTTTTTTTTAATTAAAAAAAATTTAAATAAGTTCATTAATTATTATAAAAAAGTGCACTAACAGCTACTTTAAAATTCAAAATATTTTTAAATAAATATAATTTTATTTTATGTGCGCAAAAATATTAGGGCTTGCATAAGTGATAAAAAAAAATAATTAAAATATTTTCAACAATATATGAAAGTTTTTTCCATTAAAATATTTTTGTGAATTCATAAATTATCAAAAAAAAATTTATTTCAAATATTTTTAAATATATATTGTAGTTTTTTCTCTCTCAAAAACATTAGGGCTTTCATAAATACTCAAAAAAAAATAATTTTTAAAATTTTTTTTGCTGAAATCATGAAATACAAACAAATAAAAGCAATAAACTTTGGCGCTTTTACGTCATTTAAAAAAATTTATATAAAAAAATTTATACAAATAAAATTAAAATTAGTTTTTGGCTAATGTACTAACTTCTTTTCTGACTTTATTATAAAATTTTAAATATATTAATACAAAAAAAAAAATATATCTAAAAAAATTTACATAAATGCAAATAACTATTTCGTTTGAAAAAAATTATCCTATCCAAAAACTTGACAAAACAAACAAACTGCGATAAAAGAACTTTTGGTATGTAGTTCCGTGAACGTATTATCTACAAAAAAATAAATTCTAAATTTCTAATATTGAATTTATTTTCTGTTCACATTCACAAAATCTGATAAAATAACGCATATATATTTTAAAATATAAAATATGCTTTCAGTTTTGTATTTGTCTTGTTGTGTGAATTTGTGCTTTAAATTATGCCAGTTTTTTGTTATGAATTTATTTAATAAAATCGCTACTTAATTTTGCTACTTCAAAGCTGATTAATTTCTTATCAGCATCGAATAAGATACACTTAGAAAAAAAATTGTATAGTAAAAGTTTTAAATCAAATTTCTCCTATTATAATATATGTGTTACATGATGATAAAAATTATTTAGTGTAGAGCTTTAGAATTTGTATATATATATATGTATGTGTCTATATACAATTTCATATTTTATTTTATACGTTGCATGAAGATGAAAAATATTTAGTATGAGCTAATGCAATTTTTTAAATATATATATGATATGTATATACATGAAGATAAAAAATATTTAATATATATTATATGTATAGGTTCTTATTCCTTTAAAAAAAAGTTGTAAACCTCATCAACATGAATTTTAAATAATTATTGTTACCAGTGTTGAGTGTTGTAGGGTGTAATGATTTTAATTTATTTTCGCATAATAAGTGATGAACAACGTTACATTTTCGACATCACTGCGGAATCATAAACAAAAATATTATCGAAGTTAGTGCAATATTGACTTTAATATAAATAATAATACATAAAAATATGATTATAAAATTTTTTAACAAATTTATGTAGTGTACTTAAAGATTGTAATCTATATTAAAATGTGCATAATCTCTAAATATAGCTAAGTTAAATCAGTTTTAGAGAGAAACTATTCTATTTAACATATAACATAACATTTATATAAAGATTTAATCATAGTTTGGCTTAATCATAGTTAAGTGTTTTAATAAAATCTCAAATATATGTCTGAAATAAAATATCAAAAATTTTTAATTTTTGATTTTTGAAACATAACGAAATAGGAAAATAACTAAATTCATTTAATCGCTGCTGATTAAAACTGGTTCAATTGGGGTTCGTTAGCCGGAATTAGGAAATTTACGTTATTCTTATTTACGACTCAAATACATAATTAATTTTTGAAAAAATAACATTTGTTTTTATAAATTTTCTGAAAGAAAAATTTTGTAGTTTTTATTTTATAGACAAAACATTTGAAATGGATTTTTAATTGTTTTTTATTTTGTTTTTAATGAATTTTAGTGATGTTTATGATAATTTCAGTAGAACTACAAAATACAAGCTAAACAACAAACTAAGCTTTTTTGTACATACAAGTATTCAAAGTCTATGCAAATCAAAAAGTTCTTTTGCATTAATTTATTTAAATAATTAAAATTTTATAGTTTTTCGTTTTTAATTTTAATAAAACAACAAAATAGCGGGTGTATTTTTCTTTCCGATAATCTATTATATTAGCATTAACGGAAGGTTGAAAGTGAAGGTGTAACTTTTAGCAACTTTACGACGGCGTTGCATATCTTCATTCTTCCACTCGAATAACAAACAATGTAGTTAATTATTAATTCATGGCTTAATTAAGTTATTACAACATTAAATTGATTTACAACGAATTTGTAAACATAAATTAAATATTTTAATTTTATTTTCTAAAAATTTTTTAGACATTCACTTTTTGAATGATGTTTTTATTACTGATATTTAATTGCTTATTTTTAATATATTTCTAAAATATTTTATTAGGTTTATATTTACGCTCATTTACACTTATTTTGACAGTTATTTTAATTTCACCTTGAGATTAAAAAAAAATTAGTGTGTGATTAACAGAATTGTAAAGCAATATTAGGCTTTCAAACATTGAACGTTTACGAGTGATACATACAATATTATTATTTAATACATTGTATTTGTATTTTGGTGAAAGTAATTTTTATAAAAATATATTTATTTACATATTTATTTAAGTTTATAAATTTTGAAAAATGTTTCTACATAATATGTTATATCATTCTATTTCTCACAGTGGCTCTTCAATTACTAATATATAATTTATATATATATAATTATTTATAATATTTATAAAAACATTTACTTGTAGTAACTCTATTGCTCTTTAATATAACACACTATTTGTATCACGGTGTACAGTAAGTTCTATTTGAAATAACTCGTAATAAATAATTGCCCCACGTTTTTTCCAAACCTTCGTTTTTGTGTAATTCTGGAGTTTTGTTTAGTACTTTTTGACACAATGGCCCATCTGTGTTGTGGTGTGTAGTATTACCTTTATAATCCCCATTTCATCTACTTGTCAAAAACGATGCATTGACCTTTATAACGAAGCTACAGTTGACTAATAATCGATCAACAAGTTCACTCGATAACTCCCTTCTAGGTAAGGAAATGCAAAGAGAGAAAGAACTAAACATCACCATTTCTGACATTTACTCACCTGAATTTAACTGTCACCAAAAGTTCCGCTTGCTAATATCAGACAGAAATGATTACCATCTGCGGTAAACCGATGGTTCCAAAATGATGAAAGGAGTGGAAGCGGGAGTTTACGGGGTTAAACCAAAAGAAGAAATATTTGTGAGTATCAGTCAAGAAAACTTAGTGTTTCAAACCGAAGTACAAGCAATTTAACTATGTCTAAGAAAATATATGCACAGACGTGGTGACAAAGTTCCCAACCCTTCCAAAATCTATCTATCTATCTACCTATTTCCTAATAATTCCGTATAAATAATACTAGAATTTTCTATATTGCTTGTTAGCACTATAGGACCCCTGTATCGCGGCTTATAGTATTCCCTATTGCTCTACTTATTTCTTAAACTGCAGATTTTGCGCTATCCTGAAATTTTTCTTCAAATTGTTTTACAGCTTTCTTTCCTAGGCATTCGCATTAGAATCATTTAATGGTATCAATTTGTTTTATTTACAGTATTTGAATATATAGGTTGTGTCTTTAATAAAACAGGAATGTATTTAGGTTGTTAAACTCTGGATTATTGAATGAATTGTGGAATGAGTAATGTTGTTTATTGTTAATTGCAGCTATTTTTCCTAGTACAATAGAACAGCATTTAATCACTTTTGCCACATATACAAATCATCAATTTATTGCCTATAGTTATAGATTTACTTAGAGCATTTTGTAGTTAATGGAGTGTTAATGGAGCCCTAATAAAATATGTAACTCGATATATAAGAATAATTCTATTTGTATAAAGCACTAAAAGTATTTACAATATTACTATAGTACAGTTAGCATTTAGTGTTTCTAAATCTAAAAAATTATATATATTTTATATTATATATCTATTAACATTACAAGTATATTACAGAAGTAATAAATTAAAAAAGAAAGACCTTAACTTTTAATTTGTTGTTATGATTTGCGTATAATATGAAAAGTAAATGAATATTACAATAATTTTTAATTATTCTAAAAGCTGAAATAAATCAGTTTTTTTATAATTCTAAAGATGAATCTTTTACGATTCCTACAAAAAGAAATTCAAGCTTCTAATTGACGCTTTAATAAAATTCTATACGATATTAATACATAAAAATAATTTTAATCTTATTTATTAGCATTACATACTCGTATTTTAACAATAATTTATTACGTCAAGAACCAAAATTAAAATTTTTTTTTTTTCGAAAAAATGGGATTCATTTAGCGATTCATAAATCCAAAAGTTAACACATTCTTTATGGACAAAATTAGCATTTTTATTAAAAAATTACTTTAACAAACTTTAACTACTGTTAAAATGATATCTTTTCCATTATAATAATATTTTCATAATTATGACATTAAGTCATAAATTCTATATATTCGCTTCTTTTGTTCTTTTCTATAGAAATTCTTTCAAATAAAAAACCGGATAATCTTTTTGATTATATATAGAAATGTGATGCTAAAGCTGAATGATTAAATAAGCCATTTTAAAGCAAGTTTTCACTGTACCAAAAAATAACTTAATATTTATTTTATTTTATTTTTTTTTTCACTCAAAGCAATTAAATTTTATTGCCGTAAAAGTGTAGCAGAATTTTCTCAGTATGGATCTTCCTCCAGACGTACAGACATTCAGACGTATGAGTGACTTACACTTAAGTGTTGGTGTCGTTTATTACAGTAGCAAATTAAGGCAATTAATTTCAAAACTTAAGTAACATGAAACGGAAATGAGCAATAAAAAATGAAGAAAATGTTATATGTGGAAAAGTATGAAATAATATAAATATTAATTTTTTTTTGTTTGGTTGTAAAGAATTAATGATTGTAGAATGTAGAAATAAATAATAAAAATAGTTTTCTATGATTACGTTATATGACGGCAAGATAAAAGTTTAATTTCTTCTTATACTTACTGCATTTATTTATTGTTTTTTGTATATTCATAAACGATTTCTTTTTTAATTTGTTTTTTTAAATAAATAAACATTTTATTAATTTGAATTAAATTTAAATTATTGTACTTAATATATGTGTTCTTATCTTTGGACTAGCATTTTTTGATATTGTGCATATTTTTACATACAAAATATATTTTAAAGCTTAATTATTTGGTGAAAATTATTGATTTAAGACATTAATTTTTGGTAACAAATTTTAATTATTTTCATATGACTTAAGTCCTTGCCACAGCTGCTTGCTTCTTTTCAATTAAGCAATCTAAAGCGCGGGTTACGTCCTCAAAGATATCATCTACATTGCGTTCTGCATTGAACTGAAAGGAGAAGAGAATTTAAAAGATACACTGATTTTATTCCCAATATCTTTTTGAGTTTTATTCTTACTGCCACAGTCTTGTCAGTGTATTGATTTAATATTTGATTGGTGTTACTTCTAAAAGTGGCAATACGAGTTTTAATTGTTTCCTCATTATCGTCAGCTCGTTTTTCGGTTGACAATGCAGCGCGACCCATCACACGTGCAACCAATGTTTCCTATATATAAAAATCAATAAATAATTATATATATAAATATGACTTTTATATAAAAAACATAAATATTAAAATGATATACATTTATTTGAAAAAAAAAAAAATAATTAAATACGTTTATATACGTTTTATGTGATATATGTAATATGCTATTCAAAAAGTATTCGGCGTTTATATTTGAAATCTAATAATATTGAACTGATTAGAAGTTTCGAAGAGTAACGATGTAATAATGTACAGAATATATTACTAGCGCATGAAAAGATTTATTTTAGGGTACACTTTAGCAAGAAATTACCGAAAAATATTTTACTTGAATGCATTTTAATAAAATCGGAAGTAAGAAATCCTCTGCACTATTATTGGTCTGTGACCGATGTAAAATCCATGTATCTACATTGGACGAAATTATGGAGAATGAACAGGAAGATCGCCATGTAAATATTTTGGATATTGCAGAGGAAATACAGATGTAAGCACCATATTGTTCTTAGTCATTTACATAAGAATAGTTGCAAAACACTAAGCTAATAATAAAGGCTCGTGAGCGTGAAGAAATTAGTAACACTGATTTTAAGGACATATCTTTCACAACAAATCGAACGAATACTAATAGATCATGATCTGTTAATATATACAATAGTATAGAAAAATAGAAAAACAATGGAGCCCAACACTATAGCCATGGTTCATCTTTTGTGTTAGTTAATGATGTCTTAAGAAAATAAAAGCAACTTCACTCCGCCTTTCTACTGATAGCAGAAACCTTATTTTGAAGTAGAAACTAGGACAGTAATAAATAATGAACTAGAAGGCTTCCAAATAAAGCAGAACCGATCAGATGAACCGATTTTATTAAAATGATAACGCGGACCATAAGGACCCATCAGATTACCTATTAACCACTACTAATTAAGAATACCTCAATGTAGTTGAACATATACGATAATGTTGAAAAAATGATTAACATAATTGATTAAAATAATCAAAAGTAATCTACCAATAATGTATGTTACGTTTACTTTCCAACAATATAAGTTTTTTGCGCAATAGGATATTTATAATTCTTATATACTTCAATTCATGCGTTGGATATAAAGTAGTTCACATGGAATGATTTATGTTGACTTATTTTAATATTATTTTTAATACTTGTTTTGTTTCGCTTGGTTCACAACTCTCGTGGTTATATGGTGGTGTGTATAACGAGATTTTATTCCAAATAATGATGGGTGATGCGTAATTTAGCAATGATATACATTAGGTTTCCTTTCCAACAATGTACTTGATATTGTTGTCATCATTACTTGATGATGCAGTACGTGCTAGATTGCATTTGAATTGTTTCATGTAAATTACAAGATTAATATCTTCATATAAATATAAGTATGTTTTTATTATAACTCAAGTATAATACATTAAAACAATCAGTTATAACAGTTAACAGCACCAAAAATTATGCGAAATTAAGTCTCAGCTAAATCCATTAAAAAAATAGATTAAATATGAAATAAATTTTGTGTGAAATATCTATATAAACATCCTGAATATTAAAAGGAAAACTTCAACTAACGATTGCAAAACCAAAATTTGAATTATAAAATTGTTAAAGTTGTCAGTTTTTACTTGAAAACGCCGAATACTTTTTGTCCAACCTAGTACATTAGGAAACAATAAAAAATTACAACAAATAAGTACACATATATATATAATACTGAAATAATTTCAAAAATATATTATTTTATTGTTGTTATATTTGAGAATTAAATTAAATTAAATGAATTGATTATTTCTGCCCATTTACTTATTTTAAAAAAGTAATCAATTAAATTAAATTATTAGAAACCAAATATGTATAAAAATTGTTAAATATTAAAAAAATTGTTTCTTACATCAGCACAGTCGAAGAAAATAATTAAATCAGCTGGTGCTATCTTCTTTTCAAAAGCCGCACCCTGATCTTTTTCACGTGGGTAACTAAATCGATAAAGGTATTTTTTTATTTTATATATAGTATCGATGTTACTCTTTAAATTCCAAGACTCACCCGTCAATAAGATAACCTGTAGAATTAGGCAAGTTTTTTCTAATAGCCTTTTCCAATAGGTCTAGAACATCATCATTGGACACCAATAGCCCCTGTTTCATAACTTCAGCCAATTCTTTACCCTTTGCAGAGCCGGAAGCCACTTCATCACGTAGCAAATCACCACTGCTTAAATGTGTGAAACCGTATTTTTCGACAATTTTGGCACATTGTGTGCCTTTGCCACAGCCGGGACCACCCAAAACCCAAACTATTGGTACACCAATCTATAAAAGAGAACAATATTTACATAAGCACATAAATACAAGAATAAAAATGCTAATGAAATTGCTATATAGACATAAGCAGCTTTATTGCAAAGAGGAGGTTTTCCATGAATTCATTGAATTTTTCCAAAACAAAATTTTATTACTCTGAACATTCCTCTTTGAGACTAAACACACATAAAACTAAGTAGTTTCGTATGTTTATCGAGCGGCATTTTGTTAGGCTATAAGCTCCTCGGTTCTGTTATTCACAGTTAGTATGTTTTGCATGCTTTAATTTGGAATATTTTGTTTGTTATTTTAAATGAAACATAAAAAACTATATAAAATTGTTTCAACATTGAATTTTCCGAAAATTGTTTTAAAGCTCTACATGCACACCATACATCTTAGTTACAAAAGTTGACAATCGTCCGCATAACTTACTCCGATTTGCGCTCTTCGTAATAGCTCTGCTTTTTGTTTATTAATGGCTTCCTTCTTCATGGCCATTTGGTGACACATGAACAACTACACAGAATGAGTGGAGGAGTAGGATAACGTTTGAAATTTGCCATTTGAAATTATATTCAGGGTTAGTAATAAAAAAAAAAGAATAAACAAAGTAATGCTTTCATGCTAAGGATTGGGAGAGTTTTTGATTTAAAGAGGAGGGAAAAGGTTCCAGAACAAATATATTTTTAGGTAAATAAAAATATTTAAAGATTATGTTAAAAAAGATTTAAAAAATTAAATACATTATAATTTATTATATTTTGTTGATTTAATAAAAGAATGTATTTTTATTTGACGAAAAATAGTAAATAGATAATAAAATACCAGAAAAAAGAGGAAGAGACTAAGTTCACTTATTTATTTATTGTGTGAGAAGGAACAATTGAAGTCAAATAATCAAATAATTATGTATGGACAAAATATATAATAAAAAATTAATTGCCTTTAACCAGGATAGCATATCAGAAATGATGACATGCTGGATGTTTATGCCCCTTTATAAGAAAGCTTTAGGCAGTCATCACAAAAATATAGAGTCTCACACACAGAAGACACCCGATAGTATGCTCCAGTTGAGGTCCTATATATTTTAGTCTTAAACTTGGTGGGTTGCGTGAATTTGCGTTCAATGGAATATTTCCTTTATTAGTAACGCTTTAATATTGTCGAATAAAACTAGTAGTCACGAGTTCCAAAAATAGGATGAACTCTCTGTGTTATTATTATTATAAAAATTGAATATTTATATGGACCTTAGGACCTATTGCGGTCCCTCTACTTGTTCTAAGTTCTAACATATAAACTCAATAAATAGTAATATTTGTTCTATTCCTCGAAGTTTCAGATGTTGTCTATCTATCTAAAGCCTTTTTTTGTTTTCAATAGTTCAGTGCCGCTCGCGACACATATTTCGCGGTTTCCCCGAAACCGTCAAATTTCTATGGACACAATCTATTCATATATATATATATATATATATAAAAAATTATTAAAGTGTGTGAAGATCAAAAATACCTTTTATGATTTATGGATTATACATATGCATTTATACATTTTATCAATCATCAAAAATGTCTGAAAGATATAGTTTCAAAAACCTAACAAGCATACAATTACAAGGTATAAATCAATAGCACTTGTGAAAATGGATTTATATTTTAATTTTTTTTAATATAATTTAAATAACTTATAATTTGAATTTAAAATAAAATTTTTAATAATAGTCTTTATATGTTGGGCTTGCTTCCAACAAACTTCTAAACGCACTTCTGGAGAGTCATTAAAATATTCGATGAATTAACAGATTGCTACAGTAACACTAGATTGCTATAGAAAGACCTAGTTTACAAGTCTAAAGGAAATTCAGATCTGTAATGCGATGATTATGAAGAGGGACTTACTTTTTAAAACTTTTTGATTCATTGGTCATGTAAAGTTTAGTGCCATTTTACGAAATATAGTAGTAGTAGTAGTATTCTTTTTATTAAATGTAGGTTATATTTACATTTACAAAATCAACATTTTCAATAATTTATAATATATAAAACATAAATATTATAAATAATTATAAGAAAAATAATAAGAAAAACCTAACTTCATTTACATAGTATGTAATTTATCCTTATACGATTATGGCATTCGCCGTCAATCGGGTTTACGAAATATATAATAATCCAAGCATACTGATGAACATTATTTGAAACTTAAATTTTAAAATAATTTCCGTGTTTGTAGATTATATAGGTTGTATATCAAATATTAATGTTTTCATGTTTCTTATGGAATGTTTTAGTATTTATTTAATATAAGCAATTAAATTAATAAACAATGTAAGACATTATAGGCAATAAGTTAAGAATATTTGTTTTTGGTTTTGAGAATAATATTCAAAATTAAAATGATAATCATATTAAACGTATACTTATTCAATTATTTTTATATCTGATTGGTTCTAAGTTTAATCTTTTTTTATGAAAATCTCAAAATTTTCTACTTAACTGGGTTTACTTTCAAATAGCAAAAGCAGCTGCATATTTAGACTGAACAGAGACATATATATCAAAAATACTCAGTACAAACTGTTTCAATTCTATTAAAGAATATTAATTTAATATATACTAGTACAACAGATAATTTTTACTAAGTGATTTTAACTAGCATTGCAGTGTTAAAAAAATTAAATTTTTTATTAGAAATCGGTGAATCACTACTAAATAAAAATTTAAAGATCAAGTGATGGCCTATTTGTTTTTCTTAAGATACTACATTAGAGAGTAATATTACAAAAGTATATTTTAAGGGTATATCTCGATACAGATGTTTATATAGTCTGAAAACTTTCATTAAAAAATTCATTGTTTTTGAAATTGTAATGAAATTTCTCAAGAAATTCATTATTTTCTTATTTTTCTTATTTTCTATATATATTAAGCATATAAAAATTTTAAAAATATTAAATATTTTTATAAAAAATTCTATTAAAAATTATTTTTAAAGTAGTGAAGAGTGATTAATGACTTTTGTATGAATTCTGTAAGCTATTATCAATCAGTTCATTGGACATCAACAAATAAATTGGAACGTTTATATATTAAGCAGATTTCGTAAAACCGTTTCAAATCATCATTAGCAACTAATAAAGTTATTAAAAATATCATCATAATAATTTATTATCAATTAATCATTCTAATGGATTATTCCACTATGAATTTGGTTATGTAAATTTAAAATTTAACAACTTTAAAATTTGCTAAATAACACCGTCGGGAATATTCTTTCACATCTGCAGTCTCTTCATATCCGTTATTTATTGTATCTTTGAGATATTTTGATGTAAGTTCTCACGATAAAAATACTGTGCGAAGTAAAATAAATAGGAAATCGTTTGTTTGCATTAAGAATGCAAATAAATTTTATAAAATTTGAAAATGTAAATTGTTTACAATAATAAATTTGTAGAATTTTGTTTATCTACAAATTTACTTAAAATACTTATAGAAACATTTATAAATAATTGCTTAGAATACTAAAGAAACAAGAAAAATTGTGGTAATGAGTATGTCAATAGGTAATAACGCATTACAAATACTTGGCAGTGAGCCCTTTTTTTATCTATATAGTATATATGTGATTTATATTATATATGTATATATACAATATATAACCGCATTGCAGTGAACTTATGTTTAAGCAAATTTTGAAAAGAGTTCACACAGATTGATATTAATTATGTGTCCTTTTTTCTATATAGTTTCTATATAAATATATATATGTATATAAATATTCGTGAATATTAAATTAAATCAATTTCGGCAACAGTTTACATCAATTGAACATAAATATGAGGTTAACATATATGTATATGTCATACTCATTATTAAATGGAAGAAATTAATTATATACATATATTAAAATTCATTATATATCAAAATATTTAAGATTATTTTAAGAAAAATTTACTAGTTAGAAAATGATAAAAATATAGTGAATTTTATAACATAAGATAATACAAGATAAACACACTTATTTATATCATTCTATTTTAACAATACCTTTATTAAGAGACTCAAAATAAAATAAACTAATAGCATCACTATTTTATAATAATGGTTATAAAGGTATAAAAAACTAATTTATGCATATAGTAAATATTAGAAGTCGGGATCAACTTCCCAAAGGCATCGTTACATCGAAAAGATTAATGTATTTAGAAACCCCGTAAATAATTTGTTTCATATGTATTTATTTTTATATATAGTTATTTTCATACATATTTATTTTTTATACACATTTATATATATATTTATAGCATATAAATAAATATATTCCTAACCTAACCCAAGTAAGCGTGAATACGTTTATATATTCCTAATAAAACCCATTATAGGTGTGAATACGTTTGTTGATAAAACTTTCACAGCAAATTAAGTCAGCTTTGGGTCAGTTGTTGAAGCAGCGCTGACTCTGAGCTTCAAATTTGGCAGTGCACGAGTTTGATTCCTGGTACTTCCAGTATCAAAAGAAAAAATATTTACGAATAATTAAATACAAAAATTATTTCCAAGACCACTGATAATGGGTATTTGACAATACTTTAAACAGCTGTATGGTCAGCCAAAAACTTATTTAATTAAAATAATATAAAAATAATTTATGTTGTTGTAGCTCATTACTGTTCGAAACTGTTCTATCAAAAAGTATTAAGTAAAAATAAATATATTTCGAAGTAGTTCCAATAGTTATATTGAATACTATATAACAATAAATACAAAAAAAACTCTGATTTTTAAGCTTTTATTTTACTTTATTTAAGCGTTTTCATTAATTATAAAGAAAAATAAGTATAATTTGTTTATATAATTTGAATATTTACGACAATAATATTTTTAGAGTTTCAAAAATCTCTCTTAAAAGAAATTTATAATAATACATAATATAAAAAATATAATAAATGTTGCGGCATCATCATAAAATACAGCGAACATAAAAATTTATTATGAATGGTTTTTTTTGAATCGTTCTTTTAGTAGTGATTACCCACCATGACTTCTACAAATTTACCACAATAAATTAGTTTGTGTTGCTTTCCTTTCAATAAAACTAAATATAACATATAGGGTGAGTCAGATTATTGTATGTGGGTAGGATATACCATCATTATTTAAAAAGTGGTAGGATTGATTTCTAGTGACTAGCCATCACTGTAGTCCAGTTGTTGTTATTAAACTATATACTAAGGGCATGGTTTTATAACTATGATATGATTATGAGGCCAAAGCTCCAGAAGATGGAGTTAGTTTTGAGCACAAAGAAAATATCCGGGTATTGTTATTGAACAATATACTGAGGGTATGGGTTTGTAACTATATGGTTATAAGGCCGTGGCAATGACAAAGTTTCAGATGCTGGAAATGCAGTTTGATAGTGATTAAGCTCCAGAAGATGAAGTTTTGAAAGAAAAAGAAAAATATGCAGATTGATAAATAGAATAGGGTTAGGTGATAATATGTCAATTC